GAATATTGTAATTCAACTTTTATAATACGAGTTTGTGTATTCACTGTCTTATTGTAATTCATCTTTTAAATAAGAATATTGCAATTCATCTTTAAAGTAAGAATATTGTAATTCATCTTTAAAGTAAGAATATTGTAATTCATCTTTAAAGTAAGAATATTGTAATTCATCTTTAAAGTAAGAATATTGTAATTCATCTTTAAAGTTATTACATGAGTTTATATATTCACTGTCTTGTAATTCATCTCTAAAGGAAGGATATTGTAATTCCCCGAGTTTGTGTATTCACTGTTTTATTGTAATTCATCTTTAAAATACGAATATTGTAATTCATCTCTAAAGTAACAAATTTGTAATTCCACTAGTTTGTGTATTCATTGTCTTATTGTAATTTATCTTTAAAGTAAGAATATTGTAATTCCACTAGTTTGTGTATTCGTTGTCTTATTGTAATTTATCTTTAAAGTAAGAATATTGTAATTCCACGAGTTTGTGTACTCATTGTCTTATATTATATTGAAGTCAGGATATGAGTTTATATATTCCCCTGTCAAGAAGATGAGTTTATATATTCCCCTGTCAAGAAGATGAGTTTATATATTCCCCTGTCAAGAAGATGAGTTTATATTCCCTCTCGTGTTTTTGTAAGAACGTGAGTTTGTATATTCCCCTGTCGTCAAGAATATGAGTTTATATATTTCCCTGTCAATAAGATGAGTTTATATATTCCCCTGTCTTATTGTATTAAATGATAGATATGAGTATTGGAGTAAGAGACATAAATATGGCGTGTTGTGTGAATAATTCATGGTCTCTAATCACTAGTTGTTTATACGACTGTATTGTCAACTATCTATAATTAAATCATTAATAATAACCCGGGCTTTATAGCCTTAATATTATGGCATAGTGTGGTATGTAGCAGAGTAGATGTTATCTATGCAAGTCGAGGTTCATACTGGGGTTTATATCGTTTTGGCTTAATATGGTGTGTTCGGGAACTGCGGTAGAAAGGTGTAGTACTGGTGTCCGTATCTTTACAATATTTTATGGATTGCTTGGTAAAAATGTGTGGGCGGGGGAGGCGAGTAGATGTTAACTATGCAAGTCGTGAGTTGTACTGGGCTATTTAAAACTGCCAGTTAATCAAAGGGTCATAGCTTCCAGATAGGTACAAAATATAGATACGATATAATATATATGACTGTTAGTTATGAGAGAGGCGGACCTTCCACATAGATACAAGAATATAGATACATTTATAACTGTCAGTTACGAGACGGGCGGGGCTTCCACATAGATATAAGAATATAGATACATTTATAACTGTCACTTAAGAAAGAGGCGGGCTTCCACATAGATACAAGAATATACAGTAGATACATTTATAACTTGTCACTTAAGAAAGAAACGGGACTTCCACATAGATACAAAAATATAGATACAATTATAACTGTCAGTTAAGAAATGGGTGGGGCTTCCGCATAGATACGAAAATACAGATATAATACACTTTCAACGTACAACAACTGTCAGTTACGAGGGGGAGGGGCTTCAACATAGATACACAAATACAGATACATTTTTAATGTACCACAACCGTCAGTTACGAGAGGGGGGGGGGGGCGGGGCTTAAAACATAGATACAAAAATACAGATACACTTTTAACGTACCACAATTGTCAGTTACGAGGGTGGGGGGCTTAAACATAGATACAAAAATACAGATACACTTTTAACGTACCACAACCGTCAGTTACGAGAGAGGGGGGGGGGGTGAGCTTCTACCCAGATACAAAATAAAACAATTAACAAGTTGGCTTACAACAATTGTGTATTCATCAATCTGAAACGATGTCCCATCGCCCCTTTAACACGTTGCTATATATAACAAATAGAATCGCCATTTCTATTGTCTACTTGAACTCGAGAAGTCTGTACATGACTAATAAAGTACCGTTTGTTATGTTATTATTATCTAGTATTGACCCATCACATGTCAAGAACAGTTATTATAGATGTAACACACACACTCACACTGGTATCAAACATTGTAGATATAACACACACACTCACGCTGGTATCAAACATTGTACCTAACAATTGGCACAAATGGGTCGCAACGCATATAACAATGTAATATGAATGTATATAAACTGATTTACAATCAATCGTTTCTGTTTTTACTCTAATTTAAAATCAGTTATGTTGAGCGAAATACACCGGAAGTCTCAATATAGAATGGCAATCTCTAGCGTCTGGTTTTTCCAGTCTTCACCTAGTATTTACTGCGCATGCTCTCCAGATAAGAATATGGTGTCACCGTTTGACATGACTTAAGTCTAGCCTCGTTCTTCGAGTCCCTTGTTACAAATGGCGCTGAAACGCATTATGGTACACGATTCGTGTACCAATGGTAAAATGTTTATTTTATCTTAACTGGACATCAGAAGCCTACCTTTTCCTAGTAAGATCACAAAACCAATGTTGATTTAAATTGACAAATAATTCGTGTTTTCAATGTGGAAGACTTTGGATAATATTGAGTTAGAGACGTGGCTACTTTAAAGTCAAAATAAAGATCTGCAGTAATCAGATTTAGCGCTTACATAATGTATCTTTACGATGGGACATCTTTGTCTCCAAGGAATTTACTAGTTCAAAGAATAATAGAAATACGCAGATATCATAAGTTAAACCTTTCGTGAAACAGCTAAGGTTAAACATACATTATGCAACAGGTAAATCTGCCTAATGCAGGTCTTTCTTTAGGCCTGGAATGTTATCTAAATTATTAATTAGACATTAATTAACTTATCCAGACCATAATCAACTCTAGATGGCATCGGATTTCTCCGATATTAAATAGATTAGAACAGTTCAGCCATATTTTGATTTAATCTAAAAATGGAGGAGCGAGACTTAGCTTCGAACAACCAGTGCGGTGGTTGAAATTATTGCTCACGTCTTGTCAAACCTTCAAAGGCTAATATCTTCGCTCGCAATAGGGTAATTTGTATGAAATTTTCAAATTATTCATTTTACATTATCTATTATCGAACTATGGTTAGCTCTTTATCTAAATCTTACATAATGTATCTTTAAAGTCAACGGAAGAAGCAGAACAATCAAAGACAATTTTCATACAGACTGTGTATTGAAATATTCTCCTAATGCTAGAACTAATTGGTATGTTTTTATCACGATCAAAGGCCAAGATGATAAAAAAGATAATAGATAATATGTCGTGAACAGGTTGTGAATAGAAGATATATATCAATATGTGTAATAACGGGACGTGTGGGCGGTGTGTCGGGATGTACGTTACATGTTCATTTACAGGTGAGAGAGAGAGAGAGACAGAGAAACGGGGGAGGTGGGGTTTAACGTGACGTGTGTGGGGTGTCGGGATGTACGTTACATGTTCATTTACAGGGGAGAGAGGGAGAGAGAGAGAGAGAGGGGGTAACGTGCACTCGACAATAAGTCATTTCGGGACTAACATATGGTTCAATTTTATTTCAATAATTCGCTTGCGCGTAGTGGTCTTTAGCAGTGAGAGGAAATCGGGGGACCCGGAGAAAACCCACAAGGTTGGACAGGCGATCCTACTCCTTGTCCCGTACAACCGAGGAAATCGAAACCACGCCAGTTTACTCAATGACAGACCTCGTGATACAACGCGCAAGCCCTAACCATTCGACCATCCAACCTCGCGTTTACAGGTTTTAACCTTAAAAGATTATCTTTGATTATAACAGACTTCGGATAATTCTTCAATATAATCGGGCTAAACAGACATCGAACGATCCTTCAAGTTTTCAATATATCGGAACATAACTGTACTGACAAGCACTGACTTGCAAAGAGAGGGGGGAGTGTACAAAGGAAGCAACGTCGTACATCCAATCATAGAGCTAAATTAGAATTAAGCTTTTTATAAATTTGAAGTTGTGCTAACTGCCTTACTTAATTTGAATAAAACCTTACTGCATTCGGCTCTTTGTAACACTGGTCCCTATCCTTCAGTGTTGGGTGTACGAAACTAAAGAGTTGGCCTGTCGCATGGTACTGAAGTCGCCGACTGTATGGAGTTGGATCCTGACCTTTTTTTAAGTAAGTTGATTATATACAAACTCACAAGGAGAGCAGCATACAATTACAAAATGAAAGAAAAATCACATTGGAACAAATATACATAAACATAGATAAACTCTGCCTTGTTCACTACAGAGACAAAGGCCATTCGTACATATGCCTAAATCGAACATAATACCTAATTAAATCTAGTGCTATGATGTTGGTTGTTTACAATACTACAAAAAATTAACACAATGATATGGAATGTTGTATTATGGCACGTCAGCCCCAACCGGACTATGACAAATCAACAAATAGTCTGTTTAAATCACTCACATCAAGACAAACTATGGTTATATTTAGACAACAATGTCGGCTAATCTAAATATTTAGAAGTTGAAACAACAATTGAAAGTTTTTAGATTATGCTAGCAGAGTTGATTTGTAAAAATGCAAAACAGTTGAAATTGTATAAAAAATTTAGAGTGTATTTGTAAGAAAACAAATGAAAGTGTTAAATAGGGCAGTTTATTTTTAATAAATAAAACAATTGAATGTGTTTAGAATATTTAGAGTGTATGCTAGCGCATTTTATTTGTAATAAATAAAACAATTGAATATGTTATAAACAACTTGAAGTGTATTCTAGAGCAGTCTTTTTGTAAGAAATGAAACAATAGAATGTGTTAAAAATATTGTATGCTAGGACAATTTATTTGTAAGAAACCAAATGAATTGAAAGTGTTTAATATAATAGTTTTTTTTTTAAATAAAATTTTATGTATTTAGTTGAAATGGATTGAGAAACAGGCATGGGCCAAATGGCCTCTCTCTTATAATATATTTAATATATTTGGACTTTAAGCTAGGGGATTTTATTTGTAAGAAAAATTATAGAAGAATTATAGAATCTAACTTACCTTAAGTTTCCATTAAGAATTACCAAAATATCCGAGTTTATATTCAAATATAGAACCAAACACGATTAATACATTTCCAAGGCTCAAATAAAACCCACAAGGATTGAACAACAGCGACCACCGTTAGTCCTTTGGCAAGAAACTATGAGAACCGACCGCGATAATAGTTAACAGTAGCTGTACAGAATCAATGTGTATAGTGCCATTGAAAGAGTGATAAGAAATAACGCAGTGAGTCGCAACTCCCAGACTTCACACAACCCAACCAACTAGCAAGCAAAGAATCAACGTTACTTCCCCGAACCTAACACGTTGAACACATCTATAACACACGACTTTGTAAAGGCCAGTGATGATTGTATACCGTGCATAGATTTTGGTTATTGTAGCCAGTCAATCGGCGAATAGAAAGTAAATCGTCGACTTTATACGCCGACTTCTCTTCATCGACAAATTCACAGATCGATCAGCAGGCGTTGAAGACTTTGGGCTAAACTAATGCCCCGATAAGACAACCGTACATTGGGGGGTTTTCGTCTCTCATCATCGTGATGATGGTCTTTGAGAGGAATCCTTTACACAGTTGATCTTGTCCTTCGCTTTATACCGTCGTCATTAAAAACTGTTTCAACTTTGTTTCAGGAAATGAATCGGGTTGTTTTTTTTGTGAATGATCCGATCGTTGTCATTAGCTTGAAGCCGATGATCACCATTTGCATTTGTCGGATTATATCTAATTTTACGTGGATGAACTCTCGCTAACCTGTACTCAAACTGATTATTTAACATTTAATTAATAAAACAGAAACTATAAATCAACGGTAGATAACCTATATATATATATATAGAGAGAGAGAGAGAGAGAGAGAGAGGGGGGTAGGGAAGGAGGGGGATATGTGGTTTAACGTCCACTCGACACAAACTAAGTTATTTCGGAGCTAACATATTTCAATAATTCACTTGCGCGTAGTGGTCTTTGGCAGTGGGAGGAAACCGGAGGACCAGGAGATAACCCACGAGAATGGACAGGCGACCCTACTCCTTGTTACGTACAGTTGACTCAAGGACAGACCTTATGATGATACAACGCCCCACCCCCAACCCCCCTTCAAACATTTATTGATGACGTTACTTTGTGTATATCGTATGTACAGAATGTAGATCGAGTTCATCATACTGTTTGTGAATACTGAATGAAATGAAAATGATATTCCCTTAAGAGATTCATAATAATATGGTAATTTAAAGGAGCTACATCTTTATTTTTGGATCTAGAAATTGACACAAATGGGTCACAACGCATATAATAATGTAATCTGAATGTATATAAACTGATTTACAATCAGTCTCTTCTGTTTTTACTGTAATTTCTAATCAATTATGTTCGGCGAACTACGTAAAGAGTCCAAATTGAATGGCAGTCTTTGGCGTCTGGTTATTTCAGTCTACACCGGTAATATTCTCCCGTGGGATATGATTAGCCTCGTCCATCGAGTCGATTCATTACAAATGATGCTCGAAAGCATTCTGGCACGCGATATAAAATTTTCATTTTGTCTTAAATATTGGATATCAGAAGCCCATTTTTTCCCAGTAAGATCACAACATCAATGTTGATTTAAATTGACCAATAAGTCATGTTTTCAATGTCGAAGATTGTGTATGATATTGAGTTACAGATTTGCCTCCTTTAAATGGTGGGGGGGGGGGTGGATGTCTCAATGGTTAGCACGTGCGCGCTGTATCATAAAGTCTGTCATTAAGTCAACTGGCGTGGTTTCGATTACCCGGTTGTACGTGACAAGGAGTAGGGTCGCCTGTCCAACCTCGTGGGTTTTCCCCGGGTCCTCCGGTTTTCTCCCACTGCTAAAGACCCCTACGCGCAATCGAACTATGGAAATAAAATTGAACCGTATGTTAGTCCCGAAATGACCTAGTTTGTGTCGAGTGGACGTTAAACCCCATCTCTCTCTCTCTCTCTCTCTCTCTCTCTCTCTCTCTCTCTCTTTAAATGGTAGAATATGTTACTAACTATATTTATGCATTGCGTTTTCTCGACTATAAAAAGGAACTTCCTGTGTTTATAGGATTGGCCGTAATATTTATATATTTCATGAATATAAACATTTTGTTAATTAAAGCAAGTCTCCGTCATCCGTATACTACTCCCGCGAGTAGTCAGACGCGCAAACTTTAGATCATTGGGTCTGTCGTCATTGAGTTAGTGGCATGGTTTCGATTTCGATCACACGTACGTGACTAGGAGTAGGGTCACCTGTCTAACCTCGTGGGTTTTCTTCGCATTCCAAAGCGTCTTCCCACTGAAATTGAATGAAATAAAATTTACCAATACATGTTTGTCCCGAATGAACGTTAAGTCTCTCTCTCTCTCTCTTTGAACATAATTTATCCCGAAGTTGAAAATAACTTCTTTCTGACTAACAGACAGACTGACGGACAGGGACTGAGTATCAATTGATAAATGTGATAATTTAACCCACAATAGATCACGAAAGATGCTGCCATAGCGATATGAATCTTTGTTTGCAACATACGGTAAACATTAATCAAACCATGCGCAGTAGTACTGGTTTATTACAAATCGTAAAACAAATCTGAAATTTCCGCAAGCCTAATTTATTTGTTTATATATTTATTCACTCATTCATTTTCATTTATTTATTTATTTATTTATTTATTTATTTATTTATTTATTTATTTATTTATTTATTTATTTATTTATTTATTTATTTATTCATTCATTCATTCATTCATTCATGTATTTATATTATCTATATTAATTATTTATTTATATTATTTATTTATTATTTTGTTTTGATTTGTTTTGATTTGATTTGTTTTGTTTTGTTTTGTTTTGTTTTGTTTTGTTTTCTAACAACTTAATTCACGTTCATTGAAGTTTAATTCATGTTTTTAATTTCGAATATTGAATTCTAATTCGTGTTTTTAAGTTTGAATATTATGGAAAATATTGAATTACATGTTTAGTTAGCCCTTTTAAGAGTTGAATGAAAACGGATAAACCTCACGAGGTTGTCGCGTGCACGCTTGGAATCGAAATCGCGCGCCCCTTGACTCAATGACAGACCTTATGATCTAAAAGCAGAGGAGTTATTCCACTCGTGTTTGAGAATAGAAGTGTGTCTGAATCATAAGAACTGTAGGATGTTGATTGACTTGCACTAAGAAACATTAGTTGTCAATTAATTATAGATTTATTTTTATTGATTGGAGATATTAACCACTCGGTCTATTTACATATCAACATTACACGGATATGACGTCATTTAAGACGACAAACCCACTTAGCTCGATATCAAGCTTTAAAGATGCGCTTAGTCCGAAGAACGCTAGATCGGAGACGGTCTAGCACATACGACGTCATATGTGGGCTGTGCGTTAGGGTTAGGATAAAGGTTACATATGACGTCATATGTGCTAGGATGTGATTGGCCATCTCCGATCGAGCGTTCTCCGCTTTGTCCACGTAATCTCATCCGGGAAACACACATTCAAATTGAGTGAAAGATACATTTAAGAACTAAATCTGCCTATTGCGGGTCTTTATTTTGGCTTCTAATGTTATATAAACTATTATATAGACATCCATAATCAACTCTCTAGACTGTCGGATGGCGGAGATTTAAACGTATTAAAACAGGTCGCCATTAAACGATTTAAATTAAGACCTGCTAATCGAGGCTAAGTTTCGAATAACAAGTACCGTTGTTACGATAATAAACAAATCTATGCCATATCTTGTAAAAACTTCAAACATCGATAACTTCGCTCAGAATAAAGTAATTTGAATAAAATTTTCAATATATTTATTTCGCATTATCTATTTTTAAACTATTATAGCAAGAACGACCGGCCCTTCATCTAAATCTTACATAATGCATCTTTAATTTATGCCAGATTTCAACGACAAGCGTCTCTACGAAAGTGTTCAAGTATTGATTTGGTTTTGGGAAGGAGTTTTTTAAACATAATATATGAATTGAGACAAAACAGATGTTTCTGGTGGAATATTCGGTGTTATAGCTAATTAAAACGATGGCGTGAATAGTTCACAGTGTTAAATAAACAGACTTAATTGGTTTAATTACTGACTGGCCGCAATAATTATATCGCATAACCAGGAGACGCGAGAGAGAGAGAGAGAGAGAGAGAGAGGGAGAGAGAGAAATTGGGTTTAACGTCCACTCGACACAAACTTGGTCATTTCGGGACTAACATATGGTTTAATTTTTTTTTTTCAATAATTCGCTTACGCGTATTGGCCTTTAGCAGTGAGAGGAAACTTGAGGACCCGGAGAAAATCCACGAGGTTGGACATGCGACCCTACTCCTTATCACGTACAATCGGAGAATCAAAACCACGCCAGTTGACTCAATGACAGACTTTATGATACAGCGCGCAGCCATCCAACCCCTACTAGGATACGTAGACGCCCGATTCGTGGTTTCTACAGACAAGAACCCATAAGAAAGATACGCTCTCCACAATTAGCTCCACTTAAAGAACAGACACGTTAAACCCCATCTCTCTCTCTCTCTCTCTCTCTCTCTCTGAGAACAGACACGAAGCTAGGTAACCGACATTTAATTCCCAAATCACTAAATATTCTTCGCGAATTTTGAGAAGTATTTATTCTGCTTCCCATTTAATAAGAGAGAGAGAGAGAAATGGGGTTTAACGTCCACTCGACACAAACTAGGTCATTTCGGGACTAACATATGGTTTAATTTTATTTCAATAATTCGCTTGCACGTAGGGGTCTTTAGCAGTGGGAGGAAACCAAAGGACCCGGCATGAGGCTGGACAGGCGACCCAACCCATTTAATAAATTTACAATGTTTATTTATTCCTTGTGGTTATAAAGGGGGTAACACGAATTAGAACCATATTACAAAAAGTTTAAATATGGTGGTCGTTCAGTAAAGAGATCCATTTTTCAAAGTAGAGAGTTCTCTGTGTACAGACTGACAAGAGCTATAGAACCATAAGAGATTTGTTCACGTTAATTAGACTATCATGTTGTAATCTTCCCATTTCAGGTCTATGGCCACAGATTGGTTTAGTGGGAAATTTCTTCCCATTATTTAGAAAACCATAATGGGGTTTAATTGCGAGCAGGAAAGGAATATATCGTAGAACGGATGGATGCAAATGTCGGACTTGAAAGGTGAAGAACCGCTAATTTAAATGCCATTAACCATGTCAATATCATGATATAAGCCGGAACAATTATATTGGCTACAACTGCAAAAATAACCTTTTTTTTGCCTGAGAGAGTGAGAGAGAGAGAGAGAGAGAGATACCTAGTGTTAATGCAATAAGCCCACCATGC